GACATAGGGCTGGTCGTGCCGAGTTCCTGCGAGTAGTATATATTATATTATTAATCTTCTTCAAAACTTGACCAATATACAATTGGCAGTGCCATAGCCTATGGTTAATAACAACAAAAATGAGGAAGACTGGTAGTAAATGTGTTTGAAAGGTGTATGACGTTCATGCGTTGTGTGGGCAGAGGTTTTCCCGGTTGCCCAGGCCGAGAAAGAGCTTTGCCTTAAGGGACCTCACCCTGAGACTTTGGTCATAAAAACCTGACGCGCAAGGTAGCGGGGCGATTCGCGAAGACCGTTGAAAACCAAGTGGCTCATTCGCCTTCTTTGTGTTCAGAAGCAGTCCACAGAAAAGCCGGTGGCCAGCCGGGATGTTCATCTGCCCTCCGTTAGTTACTCACTTCTGTGACCAGAAGTGAATGGTCAGTGACCCTATAGCCGGTCACATTGTCTTTGACACAGTGCCGCAAGAGCTCGTGTAGTATTTGTTGGAGAACCAGGTGACTAGCCCGGAACTCCCCACGCTCTGAGACGCCATCGCTGATAGTCCACGACTGCTTATTCATCTCGCCTGCAAAGCAAACGAAACTTATTCGCAGTTACCTTCACAAGGAAGGCATTCCCCAATCCGAGACATGGGGACGCACCCGACAGCCTACAGCTCCGTCACGGGTCCTTCGAGTAATACGACTGGTGGTGGTCGCACGACAGCGAAGCGCCGTTACGGCGTACAGCTGACACTATTATTATTATTATTATTATGATTATTATTACTCAGCAATGTACGTAGTCTAAGGAACAAGGTACACGATGAGGTTCTACTTGTAGACAAATCTCATCCAGACATACTCGCTTTCATTGAGACGTGGTTGCCACCGGACATCATGGACAATGAAGCATATTTACCTGACTAAGCGTAGCTTAGATGTGATGGCTCCGTTAGCCGTCAAGGTGAGGATGTCGCTCTTTATGTGAGCTGTAAACTGGATGCGTTGAATACGTGTTTTTCAGTCGCTGGGTCAATCTGTTGTAGCCCTGTCGAGTGTTGTGTGCACTTTCTCTGCCCAGTTTACAGTTATAGTGTTATATCGAAGTCCTGGAAGTACCTCCAATGAGTTTATTTAGTTTATTCCTACTTAGGCTGCAAATAGGTGTCTAATACTGAGGATATCAACATCACTGAAGTCTGTTGGGCTGATCTATCTTACAGTTTGGCAATGGGTACTTTCTGTTCGGATCTCTTTGAGCTAACGTTGCAACTGCCTTTGCATCATTTCGTGGACCTCCCGACCAGATCCATGAACAACCAACTTCCGTCTACCCTGGATCATATTTCTGCGAAGTCACAGCTAAAAATTCACCCTTTATGAATACACAAAAGTGAATTATTGACTTGACTTGACTTGAATGTGATCTTACATGCCGCTGTCCTCTATGGGCCAGCAACCGTGTCTTTATATCCTTTCGATGTGCTCTCTCTAAATATCATCAGGCCACCACTGAGGTATGCCAAAATATTTGGCGGGCGGACTTTAACGCACTGCGAGATAAAGCTTCAGTTCTGCGTTGTGTGATTTCCATAGCCGAGACTGTTGAGTCAGCTTGCAGTAAGTTTAAGGCATATCTCACGGAGATCTCTGTTCCCCACGTTCTACTCATTAAACAAAGGGAGGCACGGGCGCAGCTTCCTTTGATCGATAAAACAAAGAAATACCTGCTCAGAAAGTGGTCTAAATGCTGGCGAACTTACCAAGCGGCTTCATCATCCAGCACGTACAAAAATTATCGAGAGGTTAGTAATGTAACATCTCAGGATTGCTCATCTTCAGCACGAGAAGAATTTAGCTGACGCAGCGGTAACAAATCCAAAATTCTTTACGTACGTTAGGAAGCTCAGCGGTACAAACTCGTTTATAACAGCGTTACTACGAGCGGACGGGACCCGTGTACATACCGACTATGATAAAGCTTGCATAATTAACGAACAGTATACTGATGGCTATTCTCGTGAGACCTCTCTACCACAAGTTGTGCTGGTCACAAGAGTCCCGGATTATCCCTACCTAACTGAAATTAGCGTAACGGAGACACAAGTCTTCGGGCTATTGCAAGGGCTAAATCCTTCCAAAGCTTCTGGCCCTGATTCAATACATCTGAAGTTGATGTATGAATTGGCGGCTGCGCTAAGTGGCCCTCTCACATGCGTGATTACAGTATCGCTCGACAACTGTGCCTTACCTTCGGAATGGAAGGAAGTAATCTGTCCGATTTTTGATGACGGTGACTATTCTGCCCGCAAATTACCGGCGTGTCAGCTTGACAAGCGTAATAGTTATGTTGTTTGAAAAACTGGTCAGTGGAGAACCACCTGAATAAGTTTGACCTTTTCAGTGTTGCGCAGCACGGTATTCCTATGGGCTCTTCGTGTCTGACAAATTTACTCGTAGCTCGTGAAATCTGGGCTAAGGCAGTAGGCAGCGGCCTCCATACTGACGTGCTTTTCGCCGACTTCTCGAAAGCCTTTGATACTGTCCGATATCTACGAGTCGCTAAAGTTGTGGTCGTATGGGATATGTGGAGATGCCTTTAAATGGGTGTCTGTTTTTACAGAGAGGAGAGAACAGTATGTACGCGTGGGGTGTAATTTTTCGCTTAAACAAGCTGTTCTTAGTGGCGTTCCTCACGTATCGGTTTTAGAGCCGTTGCTTTTCACAATTTATGTTAATGACTTACCCCAGGAGCTTTAAGTACATTCTCTTTTATTGCTGATAACATCAAGCTCTGGAATATTGTGGATATCCCTGGAGCTTTTGAGGCAATTCAGAGTGCCTTGAATAGTCTCTGATCAACCTTATGTTTGATGCCTGTAAATTAGGCAAAACGTTTTGTTACTGTTGAGTAGGAGGACTTTTCACTTGTAATTTTAAGGTTTTCGTCCCAGTAGCTCACAAGCTACATTGCACAGCCTAGTCCGAAAAAGCACCAGATGCGTTTCACACTATTGGGGCTCGTCGGTTGTGCGCATTCCCTCGGTCCCCTACTGGGGATCGAACCCATGACCACTAGAGGCAAATGCCAACAAGCCAGCTTGGGTATATACTCAATTCACCACCGAAGAATTAGAGGAGACTTAATCCTCGCTGACCGTATCCTAACGGGTAAGATCGGTCCAGACGTCCTGGCTATTTAATCCTGCCAAGCGACCTATTGTCCGAGGTCACTCGTTGAAGCTGCACAAGCTACCTTCTACCCGGGTAAAGACAGAAACTCGTTTGTCGCGCCGGGTTATTGAACTTCAGAACTCGCTTCCGGAGCACGTAGTTAGGGAGTCTACGTTAGAGGGTTTCGAGCGTCAGTTAGATGCTCTTGGTTAGCAGTAACAAACCTTCTCCTAACCGACTTGTCTCTTCAGCTTTTTGTTCTACTTTTCTGTTTCTTCGCGCATCTTGGTATTATCCTTATTTAGTTGACCTTCCCCCTTGTTCTCTTAGCTTACCCTTCACTCTCTTACTTCACAAACACCGGCTTGGCAGGGACTGCTGGGTAGGAAAATGTGGGCAGTACTTGGTTGCGCGAGATGTGATGCGGTCTTTGTTTTAGGCTTTTCAACATAATAAGGCCGCAGTGGCAGACAGATCCGTAACCGGTTGCCCCCAACCAGGTATATATGGTTGGCGGCATCCGGTTTCGGATTTGCTTGTCACTGTGGCGAGCCACAGGACGCCTGCGCCTACAGAGGGACCATGGATGGATTGCGCTGCATCACCCACAGCTCCAACCACACCCCATATCCAGTGTAAACCCGAAGGAATAAGACCGGGAGGCATGCGGATGGGAACCACGTTTCATCAACGGAGCCGGCCCACACTCCTTCACAGGCAAACACAAGCACACTGTATTTGGGAATCAAGCGCACACAAGGCGGTGGCTGGACCGTAGTCCGCTCCACACTGACTGCATGGAACCACTCTTCGAGCCTAACACGGCCACAAGGACCGTGCACCCTGTCCCCTCCAGCAACGACCAACTGTCTCCTGGAGCCAGTATGGACGAGGTAGTGGGTAATAGACAGGTAGGCACCTTGTCAACATGCACATCAAGCGCAGCCACACCGGGGATATCAAACAACAGCCAAACAAATATATATATATATATATATATATATATATATATATATTCGAAAGTTCGACGACGCAATCTCTCGACAGCTTGCTATCCGATCGACTTAACATGCTTTTTTAATCTTATTCCTCTTCTGATTCAGTATTGTAGTGGTTCTGAGTGTGCTTTTGTAATGATCCCGAAAAATAAGGAAATCATATTACCTCAATCAGACGGTCATTGATGCTTCATTTTCTCTTCGGCTCCACGTTTCGTTTCGTGTGGTTTCTTACTAGGTGGTTGTGATATAAGCATCCGCCTGCGATATATTTGTTTCGCATTGTAGCTCCCCCGGTCTGTTATGACCTACTTGCACACTGGACACCTAAACCTTTGAAATCCTCGACAGGACGCATGTTACAGAATTATGTTCGCGTTTGTTTCATTGATAGCCCCTCCCACTTGCTTATTTTTAGTGTGGCTAATTGTTGTAGGTAACATTTTCAGTGTCTATTATTGATTTTGCTTTTGGTAATAGCTTTTCTTCTTTCCACAGCCACTTTCTCGATGCCTCTTTTCTATGATCGTTTCGGAGCCTTTTGCATTGTCTGTGGTGCAGTTTGCCTTACGCCTTATGTTGGAGATTAGTACGTTACGATTGATTTGCTTAGATTTTTTTAGTTTTCTGCCAGTTCTGCTGATACAGTTCACATTGTGCAAGCTACTGGATGACTCTGCCAGCAGGAACCCGTAAGTTCACTCCGCAACATCATTTATACATCAGGATATTGGCCATTACAGTTGGGGGTGTATTTTTCGCTTTGTGTTCAGTCTGCTCCATTATTCCAACCCTGTGGTATTCATGTGGTTGAAGGTCCACTTTTCACTCATCCGCTTTGCAGGGTTGCTTGGACTAACATCATTTATCTCTTCATTTCATCTAATTTTTTACTGCACTACTTCTTTTGGTGTTTACTCGAGTTTCGACTGTTGGTTCACGATGTTAAGGTTAGTTCTGCCTGTTGGTTATGCCTCATTTAATAATCTAGCTCATAGAACTCTTTATGAACATCAGCCTTCCTGCCCTATGCTGCCTTATTACAACCCGGACAATATCGTTTTTGACCGGAGCACCATTTTCACCATTGATTTGCCTTTCTGGGTATTGCAGTTTTTCTCTGCCTCACAGTTTTCCAATGTAGGTTTTGCACCCTCAAATGGGGTAAAATTCGGAAAATGACGAACAAATATTCTACAGAGAAGCGTCTAGATCGGTTGCAGATTCTTTTGACTGACGTGTGCACTCTTCTGTTGCTAAAAATCTCTCCATTCTTGAGTTTTTTCACGACCATTTACTTTACTGGGATCAAACAAGACTTGCTGCATTACTCCGTGAGTTCCAAGTCTGTTACATCTTCCCGTTCCATCACATCACATCCATGATGCGCATGAGCCAGAGAAGAACTAGAATCAATGACTCCGCAGTCGCACGATCTTGAGTATAAGATTGTCATTTCTTGTCAATACATTTCATCATTCCTACCCCAAGCCGAAATTTTTCATTGGAGTTTGTCCACGGCTTTTCCTTAACACCAATAGCGCAAATATTATTTATAACACAGTTATTGGTCTCGGTTGGAGTTAGTTGCCTTGGCATAAGCGTTGAAATCTCCTCATTCGCTCCGTATCTCAAGCTTCTCTGGTCGCACACAATGTTAAGTGCATACAACAAAACCTCCGAATTTGACCACCTCTGTATCCTGACCACTACTCTAAGTTGACCTTTTTTTCCTTGCTTGAGCGTCCATTATGTAAACCTTCCGAATTTAGACCTGTGTTGACTACCTCTGTAGGTTGACCACGTTGGTGCAGTCCTTTGAGTGACCCACTTACGGAGGTTTTACTGTTTACGTATATCGCTTATTATTAATGATACTGCGCAGACAAAATGAAACGTATGCATCTTCCAGCTTTCGTCTGCTCATTGTGCTTTGCAAATTCCTACTGTTTCCGGATTATAATAGTACAGCTCGAAGCTACTAGCTCATGCTAACTTTTGATCACATCCAGCATTTGAAACTAACTGCCTGGGCAACTGAAGTGCTTACTCTATTGTTTCTCTTCTCTTACAGATCGAACTAGTCCTTTTGACATGTGGGACGCAATTTCTTTCTCTTTCTCTCTATACCACCAGATCGCACGCTAAGCAAGGTTGGTTTGAATTATTCTATATGCACAGTTTGCCCTTGACAACTTAAATGTATGTACTGCTGTTGTTGATAGTAACTAAAGCAACTGCAGTAACTTAACTCGCAGTCTGTTCCAACCTTCGGAATCTACTGCTTCACGTAAATTTTCGTTCGGCTGAACAACTGTGCACTTCCTACTGCGAGACTGGAGATTGCTGTAGTACCATCGTTTATGCGTTTTGTGGTTCATTATGCTACACTAGATGATCCTTTCCTTCAGACCCACAAATGCCAGCGATCACACCAACTTGTCCTAAAAGTTTTCATTGGAGTTTAAACCGATGTTAAGCATTTTTTCCTCAAAACCCTACCATGGAGGACATCTTGCTCGTTAAGAGCTGAGCTTACTGCGTGGAACTCCGGTGCCGCGGATCGTATTCGACGGTGCTTTGCTACCTCCCCACGCCAGTCACCCCTTTTGACCAATGCATTACATGCCTGCCAAACTCATCCTGTTACAGAACTCAGTCCTACATGGACAAACGTTAATTCAGCCAAGACAACGTAGCGAAAATTACAGTATATTTGGCAAGCCAAACTCCTCGATATAAATTTCGCGTTCAAATCCAAAACTAACGACCCTTCTGAGTCGATGAGGTTCCTCCTTTGCTTCAGTTAAACAATCAGTGAATCACGTACGAATATCGGCCAATCCGTGTCCAGTAATCGAATCCGTCACTTCTGCCTTCCATTGGCTGTCTGGCTCGCTCGGTTGGTCCATCTGCTCACTCTGATCTGATACTACCATCACATCCTCCCTTTTTTCGTGTTATTGCGCCCCCATATTGCCATCCACCCCGTACATCTTGCCACTCCGCGTCGTCTTCGCTGTATCTGCGGCTGTGGTCTCCTTGCCGCACGTCATCTGGCACTCCGCTCTAAATCCACATTGTTGTCTCTGGTGTCGTCTCAAATGCACTCGATTTCTTCTGAACGTTTTCCCTCCGTTTATTTCGTATGACCTGACACCTACTATCGCAATCACCACACCTTTCTTCCACCTCTCTTGACTATCGGGTAATGGTTGAACCCATACTTCTTCCACTGTTAGCTTAGGTAGTGCCCGTGCACCGCGATCGTAGTACCGTTTCTCAGCTGTCATTCGTCGTCTCAGATTGTTCTGTACTCACTCATGCTGTGGCGAAACTGGGCGCAAAAGTATGGCAGATATCGGTATCAGCGTTCTATAGGCTCTTTAGGCGCTGCACTGGGCTCAAACCGATATTCGTTGAAGGAGTGTTACGATTCTCCAGTAGCATGAGGTACGGGTCCTCGCCAGTTGCTCTAGCCTTTGATAACAGTCGCTTGGCCTGCTTCACTGCCGACTCCGCCTTTCCATTCGATTGACTGTGATATGAGCTGGTTTGCTGGTGCACGAATTCCCACTTGGTTACTAATGCCTGGAACGCACCGCTGGTAAACTGGGGCCCATTGTCGGAGACCGGCTCCTCCGGTATGCAGTGACGCGCGAGCTGACGTCTGAGATCGCTAATTACTGCTTCTGGCTGTCGTGGTGAGTAGATCGATTTTAAAGTAATCACTATAGTAGTCCACTGTGAGTAAATAATCTTTCCCGTTATCACTGCATACATCCACCGCCACCTTCTACCATGGTTGGTCAGGGACATCATACAATATCCCTGGTTTCCTCGTCTGCCGGATTTCGTGTGAGCACCACGCCTCATAATTCAATACATGCACTCTTGTTTGACCCGTCATTCCTAGCCAAAGATCACTTCTCTTGCTCGGTTAACCCCCCCCCCCCTAGGTGATCACAATGAACGTATTTTAGCATTTCTCCTCAGAGCGATGACGGAATCAGAATACGGCTTTCCTTGAACAGGAAACCATCATAGACAGAGTTCATCCCGAAAATTGAAGTAGGGTGTCAGTTCCTTCAGCAGTTCCTTCTTTGTCTCTGGCCACCCATTTATAATAACGTCTCGCAAAGCTGAAAACGTTGCATCTTCTTCCGTGTAGCGTTTTATTTCCTTTAGGCGATCTTCTGTCACTGCCAGATGCTGTACTAACTTTACTGCTTCGACCTCTTCCGGATTATGCTCAGGTAGCGGCAGGTGAGCTCTTGACAGTGTATGTGCGATGAACATCGGTGCACCAGGCGTGTACACAATATCTACGTCGTATTTTTTAAGCCGGATAAGTATACGCTGAAGGCAACGAGAAAGAACGTACAGCGGTTTACTGCCTATTGACACAAACGGTTTATGATCGATATACACAGTTGTCTTTCTTCCGAAACTATAATCGTTGAAACGCTCCATGGCATAGACTATCGCAAGCATCTCATTTTCGATCTGTGCATCGCGCTGCCCCGTCACGGTGAGTGCTCGACTGCGGAAATCCAGAGGTTTTCCATTCTGTAAGAGAACAGCACCTATTACGTTTTGGCTACTGTCACACTGTACCTCCAAAGGCTGCGCTGGATCGTAATACCCAAGTACAGGCGCGTTGCTGATGAGGTGCTTCATAGTTTCGAATGCGGTTTCCTGCTCTTTTCCCCAACTCCACTTTATTTCTTTGTGAGTTCACTTCCTGATCGGTGTCATGATATCAGCGAGTCGGCATGAAACGGCTCAAGTAATTCACCATACCGTTTAAGCGCTGGATTATCTTCACCTCCTTAGGAGGTGGCATCTCTCGTATTGCCTTCGTTTTTCCTCGATCGACCTTGACCCCTTGTGTTGTTAACAAATGCCCATGGAAAATCACCTCGTCTTTCCGAAGTTCAGTTTTCTCACGTAGTTTGATGTTCTTTTGCACACAAGGCTGCAAGAAACGCTGGAAATTAGCGTCATATTCGAACCATAGATTAAAATGTCGTCTGCCACGCATGTTACATCATCTATATCTTCTGCCGCTTGCACCAATCGTCATTTGACACCAAACTGTAAATGCAGCCAACGATAACCCCCGAACGGTGCTCAAATGTAGTAAGAAAACTGGATTCATTATCTAGAACCACGTACTAGAATACCGAAGAGAGGTCTACCTTCGTAAAACACTTGGCTTTGGTCAAACTCGGCAACATGTCTTCTAGGGTAGGTAGCGCCTAATGCTCTCTCGCAAAGCCTCACTCAATGGTTTTGTGTCAATACACACACGCAGCTCGCCCGTCTTCTTCGTGATGATTGCTACCTGACTAACCCAGTCGGTTGGCTCTTTTACTTTGGCAATCACATCCTCTCCCATTGATTTGCTCAATTCACCGGAGAACCTGTCACGCAGTGCAAACGGAACTCTCCTAGCCGGTAGCGCTGTCGGTCGTATCAAAGGATGTAAGGACAAGTGAGCGGTTCCCTCAAAATTTCCCGAACCTGGGCTAAACACAGACGGCTACTGGTCATTAATATCGGTTTCTCCCTGACAAGCATGCACGAAACGATCATGATTAAAAATAGCAAAACCGAGATGCTGGATCGAATTAATGCTGAGAGTCGGCTTGAGCTCCTCCTCCATGATCGCAAACTCCAGTCGATGTGGTGCTCCGTCTCTTGGGTTAACGACTTCGATTGTAGCTGAGCCCAACCACGATCTCATTACTTAGCCTAGTATAATTTTTCATATTAAATTTTCTCGCTGCATACTAGCCGGCTGGTAGCTTACCGGAACAATGCCCATTCATTACCGGTAGCTCAACTGGTTTGCAGCTGTTGCATTTCCCCCTTTTTTCTTTTATTCATTGCGGCACAGTAGCTGAGGTGCTTCTCACATCTAGCTAACGTGTATGATGATGAGCCCTTCGGATGAAGTTTGGAACCATACCACATACGCAGGCAATCATGATCCGATCGAATGCACACTCCAGGTCAGTGCTTCCTTGCTAGAATGTTGACAGTAGCTCCCGTGTGTAACTGGAATCGTACAACTTTGCCTCCGATCAACAAACTTGCGTAGACACATTTTTGCGGCACCCTCCGAGACACGTTGCTAAGTGAATATTCTGCATCTGCATGTGACTTGTCACGAATGACCGCACTCACATTGGTTGACCGGCAGCAACGAGCAAAGTGGTTTTTTCACAGTTGGCGCACCTCCTACCCCATGTCGGACACTGTTCGCGGGAGCTTAAGTATCGTGCGGGTGAAGTTTGCAGATCTCCTGTTTCACGTTAGTAGCCTTCGCTGCATTGCATCCGGAAACGGCACACAATTCTGCATCAGTTGCGTGTTGCATTAGCTGGTACTGATAGGTGGTAGAGGACTCACTGTTGCAGATATCGATGCACTGCTGGAGGGATAAGTTGCACAGTCGCAAAAGCCGCTTTGTCGTACTTTCATCATTGATTCCTATAACGATCCGATCGCGTATGAGGCTGTCGCCCCTGCATTCACAGATATTGCAGGATCGGTCCAAAATCTTAACTCAGGGATGTACGCGTCGACGAATTCGTTTGGGCCTCTGTTGCGCGAAAAGAAAAGATAGCGTCGATTGGTCTCCTTGGTTTGATCTTCGCAAAATTCACTAAACTTTTCAATGACTGTCTGCAAATGATTGGGATCTTCGCCTTTTTGGTATTGCGATGTCTCTATCACTCTTCGCGCGTCATCTCCGGCTGCGTGTGGGAACATGGTCAAGCGATACGCCATCGATTGCTCCTCCAAACGTACTAAGGTGCAGAAATCCATCCACTTGCTCCTCCATAGACGCCAATTACTCGCCAAGTTCTGTTCATCTATCTTCAATGGGGCAGGCATCTGAATAGACGCTGGTGATCCAAACAGCATCGGAACGCCGCCGGTGTGGTTTGCCTTTGCCTTCTCTGACACGTTTTCGTTCAGCGACAAGCGTTTATTTGACCAAGACAACGCAGCGAAAAGTACAGCACGGTTGACAAGCCAAACTCCTTGATATCAATTGCGCGTTCAATTCCATAACTAACGACCCTTCTTAGTCGTTGTGTTTCCTCCTTTTCTTCAGTTAAACAAACGGTGAATCACACAC